GTTACATGTACTTCCTTGTTTTTCATGACAGTCTCGCATCTTTTGGGAAAATTCATAATCCCCCTTTTATAGAAAATTCCCCAACTTTCTCTGTGTAAAATCGCTCCAAGTGGACTTTAACAGCTTCTTCAGAGTTAAGTTTCTTTCTTCTTTCTTTCTTGAATTTTGTAAAGAACGAAACAAGCAATTTGAAGGAATTGTAATTTGACTTTTGTTAGCTGGAGCGTGTAATTGTGTAACCGATGTATGCATATGGGTGCCAGTGGATATTGCAATGAATCGTAAATTCTATACTAGATTATTCTCGTTGATGTATCGCCGATTGTATTTTGTTATTGCATATTCCATATTAATATCTATTATGGTTTCTTCATATTTTATTAAATATATGATGTAATAATATTTTTCATTTTAACAATAATGGTTTCACAATTGCTTTTTCATGATATTAATTATTCCAATCAAATAATAGTCTCCATAGTTCCTTATTAATTGATAATAATACTCATTTGTATATTTTAATAATTATTTGTGGAGAAAGAGCATTCAAAACGCGACAACTTATCGTCGCATTCAATTTATTTCATAAACTAAACAGATACAAGTGAGCAATATAACCGCATATTATGCTGTTAGAGAGCTGTGTTTGACAGATATACTCGTTATGAAGAAGCTAATTTCTATTTGCTAGTTAAAGTAAACTTTTTGCGAGAACTGAAACATTTTTGTAAATTTAAAAATTTCTAGTTTAAAACGGGAAGGGAATGAAAGAAAAATGAGAAAAAGCTTGAAAAGTTCCTTTCAAAAGCAAATGCACGCACTGTAATGTAACATAGGTACCCGTTTTAAAATTTCAAGTACACGCATTTAGATAAAATTAAAGAATTAACAGTTCTTTAGACTTTGCGTCACTCTCTAAGATAGATAGTATATATATTGTAACTATATATTAACCCTATATATAACTATATATTAATCCTATATTAACCCCATATATTGTAACTATCAGCCGCGACAATACGTCTCAANGATAGATAATATATATATATATATTATAATAATATATATATAATATATAATATAATATAATATTAATATATAAATATAATATAATATTATAATATATATATATATATATTATATTATATAATATATATATATATATATAATATAATATATATATATATATATATAATAATATAATATAATATAATATAATATAATATATATATATTGTAACTATATATTAACCCTATATATAACTATATATTAACCCTATATTAACCCTATATATTGTAACTATCAGCCGCGACAATACACGTCTCAAGTATCCTAGTTTAAAAACGACTTACAGTAATCCTATACAAATAAAAAATGCGCGCGATATGACAGTAGATTGGAATCGGGAACCATAAATAACCGAGAAAATATTACCTTTCTCGATTGTTCTTCTGTCATTTTCTCTGAACCGTAGATATTTAAATATCCGATTACTCCTTCATCCGAGCAGTCATACTTCTTTATTAATTCGATTGCCGGATGTTCAGTTACAATCGAATTAAACAGAAATATATTTCCATTGTCATAAATCGTAGCGTGGTACAAACGGAATTTAATGAAATTTGATAACGTTTCAATTTGTTTATTTTTCGATGCGCCGTGCTTTCGTTCATTTTAAACAACTTTCGTTCCAACTCGTTTTATTTCGAAAAACAAATAACGTTCCGTAAACAATAACGGGTTCGATTCACTTTGAATATTAACAGTGACCCTTTCCAGTTGTTTTCATTGATGGATATATCTTTTCAGCCGTAACTATATTATTGTTTGTTTATTGTTTGTTGTACTCTTACATTTTTGGGTGCTTCATATACAGGGTACTTTTCATGCAACCGATGCTACAATATTTTGAACACATCTGGTGGTCTGATAAAACAATATCTCCGTCGAATAATCAACCGTTTGGATTTATTTTCTTAACAATACATTGAAATCTCAAGAAATGTAACCTTGAACAAATTTTCTTGCCTGTCATAATATTTGCCTCTCTGCATCAATTGACGTTCTCCTCTGACATGTTCTTTTATCATAACAAACCAGCGAGATATTTTAAATGTTCGAGTTAGGTGAAATACCCTGTACATTGGTCCCGTGAAGGGGTTGATAGTTCCAGCGATAATCTCAAAACTCGCTTCAGAACAAGTTTGAACATTGATTTACAGTTCTGGGGTGACATGTATAAATGAAACTTGTCGAGCGTGGAGGAGTCAAGTGTGTTTAAAAGTGCGAAACGTTAAAAAGGAAAGGAATCATTGCTTCTTAAGCGAAAGACCCCTTGGCGAGCTAATTTACAATAGCCTTATATATATATTCAGTTATAGTATAGTTATAGTCTCCCTGTTACTTCGGATAATCAATGTTCTACTGTAATAAAGTTAAGAGCATTTTCCGGTGATTACCCGATTTCGCATCAGAGTTGTCCACATACTAGAAAATCCGAAGAAAATTATCCAAGCTAGGAGAATCCCTGGTTTAGCACCAGGTTCATTCGCGAAGTCTCTCGAAAATTCTACAGACTCTTTAATTTCGCTGAATAACAACTGATTACCATTTTCGTTTATTAATATATTGGGTTGGCAAGTAATTGCCGATTTCAGTTATAGACGTCTCTCACTCCCATTTTTATGATATCCATAAATGTTATATTATAAAATTATAAAATATATATATATTATAAATTTATAATATATAATATAATAATATATAATAATAATAATAATATATATTATAATATATTTATTATTAATTATAATATATATATAATAATAATATATAATATATTATAAAATTATTATTATGTTATTTTTTATTATCCGTGAATGTTAGCAACTGGGCGACCAGAATTGGTCGATCGTAAAGGTGTCATTTTCCAGCAGGACAATGCTAGGCCGCACACGTCTTTGTCCACTCGGCAAAAATTGATGAATATTGGTTGGAAATTGATATTACACCCACCATATAGCCTGATCTCGCGCCATCGGATCACCACTTATTTCGATCCCTGGACAACTCCCTTCGTGGTAAAACTTTTAATGACGATGACGCTGTAAAATCTCACTTAACTCAGTTTTTGGCCGAAAAGGATCAGACTTT